CTGGTAAAGACGAAAAGCATTGTAGTATTTTCTGTAATTTGGTAATCCCGCGCTGGTCGGCGGAATAAAAAAGGAAGCTGAGGGAAGTGATGCCAAAAAGACATACATCGACGTTTAGTTGCCATTTATTTTGATGGACTTGAAGAGAGTGTGATGCCTGTAGGACCGCGTTCGGGCTTTTTCAAATGCTGAGGTGTAGCTCTCCCGAATACGACGTCGCCTAGGTAAATGAGTCAGTAGTGACTGTTGCAGATGTCAAAACGTAGCGCTACTGTTCCACATGCCGAAAGACGCCGCTACAAATGCCTTTAATCACGATGAACGCCGTTTTTGGACAATTATCCCACCTGGCCCCGATAGGCCAATGCCAGAACTCTAAATCTACTGTAGATAACCAATTGGCCTCGAATATTTTTTGAAAATGTTGGTTTTTATGCTGATGATCCCAGAGTTGCTCCCTGATGCAAACCGGTAGCTACCGACATTGTTTTAGAAATTTTTATGAGTAAACTACAGGCTTTTTTCCAATGGTGCAACTGTTCTTCTCGATGATCCTCAAACTCAACTAAGCAACGACGGTCACGATATGCATATTCCAGCGTTAATAAGGATCTGAGCGTACTCTTCTGCAGTATCTCAACATTTCAAATAACTGAGTCCTAATTATCCCTAAAGTACGCCGACCGACCCCAGTTATCCCCATGCACTTTAAAACAGGCAAAATTAGAAAAGCTCAACAGTAGATCTACGTAAGACCTGGCTTTAATAATGTTCATTCTTGTTTATTCGCCTGCAGGCAGATGGTAGAGAGGAAACAGAATCCGTTCAGAACCCTGTAATTTTACGTTATAAAATAAGAAGCCTCGATTCTTCGGGTTGAGCCCTCTAACTGACGTACTTTAGTCTGCTAATTAGTTTGGAGCATTTTGACCACCCCCGATGCAACAGTTACCGCGAGTTACATTTAGCACTTCTTTCGGCATGCAAAGCTGAATAAGTTTGCTTCGTTCCAGTGAGCACAAGTGCCCTCTGGAAAAGGTTGTCCAAAACACAGGACGTCTGGGTGAGGGTAGGTTATGCGGGACCCCTTAGTGATTGTTCAGAAGTCTATCTTCCCCTTTCATTTAAGTAGGTACGGCTGGTAAATGTGTGTCTCACAATGGCTCGCGCAAGGTGTTATGCGGGACGCGGATTTTGGCCTTCACTACCGTTACTGACGTAGTCCTTGCCTGTATAAGTCTCAGAGTTAGGGTTGGATCAATGTTTGCGGTTTGAAGTAGGTTTATGACTGCCAGGCTCGGGCTGCGATTACGGCCGTTTTCGATTTTCTTCTTAAATGCTTACGTGTTAAAGGTTTGATTTGCCCGTTAAAGGCACGGCAACGGTTGACATTAGGATTGTAGTTCAGGTCAGTTTTATTAAGGGAAATATTGGCGAGCGCCTTAACTACAGTTTACACAGTGAAGATACATACCATACCCATTCCAACTTCTGAAATATTGTCGTTGTCTACATAAAATATCCCTTGCTTACTGCCTTAAAAACCAACTCTCACAATTTCTGGTTACCGAATCTATCGAAAATATTCTCTATATTAATGAAGTTTTCACGTCTTTTCCTGGTCACATTTCGAGGAGAATGGTACTAATTGTAATCTGCCACGTAATGCCTAGATTCTTGGGACTATAATCAGCAACTGCTCATTATTGCACCCGTGTCTGGTTCAGGGTAATAAGCCAAAGAAGGATAATGGAGATTGCAAAATCCCGTCGTACTTGAGCCAAATGTCATCGTTTGGAATTGCCGTAATTTTGCAGGTTGCAGAGTTTTTTCCTCTATAACCCATTACCGGAAATACAACAAGGAAAGTTTGCTGTTCGCCGAATCTGGACTGTGTATTTATTTCGAAATTGTCTGTAGATTGACGTACAATACTATTGTTAATTTGATCAAATGAATTTTTGTGGAAAAAGTGCATCGTGAAATAAAGCTTCTGCTTAATGGAGCATCAAATTAATGAGGAAGGAATGTCTGATATAAGGTAAAACTACCTCTAACTAAAATTACTGATTAGCCGCAGATGACTCATTTCGCAGATAAGCATATTCTTTTCCGTACAAACAATGGCCTACAAACCCATACTAGTAGGCAGTACATACTACGCACCAAAATAAGTCGTCATGGCACGAACCTCAACTGTCCAGTTGAAGGTCTGTTTCTAAGTTGCACGTTCCATCCGATGATGATGTTTACCCTTTCTCGGTCGACAGGTTTTTTCGTCCTAAAACTATTTGAACCACAGCAATTTGTCTTTTGCGAAAAAAATGTTTTTTTTCACTGCCCTCTAACCGCTTTTCATATCACACTGCTTTTTCCATAAGCATGAACTGAATCCTGCGCAGATTCTGCCTACTTGTTCTGAAATTCACAGAAAATTTATTTTTACTTGCTGTGATATTACCCCGGGGATCTTAGTAAAATAGGACATTATTTCATTTATCAAAGGTATGCCAAATATAAAGGCTGAAAATCTTAAAATAACACTTTTGATATGACGCGATCAAACATGATCTTGAATAGGTATTCGTGTGTCACAAATTATGATTAACTGGTGCCTACTATCGTTTTTTTAATACCGGACACGGATGACCCCAAAATATCACGCTAGACATCATCATCTTTACCCATGATATCTGACTTTTTCATATGCATTCTGTCAGCACAAGCTTTGAAAATGATCGTAAGGTAATAATATCCCTTTTAACGTAAAATTATCATAGATCTAAAAAACCATGCACATTCTAACATAACTGGAAGGAAAATTCAAGGACAGCTAAATCAGCCTTTTAGACCGCAGCGCATACCTTCCAACCACGCTTCCCACGGAATCATCCTGGTTGCTGTGCTCAATTGGAAATCATTCGAGATGGCCTAGTAGAAGGTGGACCTTTATATCGAAAGACGCCCATTTCGAATTTTTTTCGGCTGAGATTTGCAAATTAAAAAACTATTTACGTGATTCCTCTGTTGACTACATGTCCAGCGAATTAAATGTGTAAATAAGACACGTTAAAGGAAACAGTGTCTAGCTGCAGAACATTGTGCCCCAGAATTCATTAAAATGTCATAAATCTTATAAATGCAAATATCTTAATTTCCATTATGCTAATCACATTTAATTTCGATCCAGGAAAAGTCTGTAAGGTGGATAGCAACGAGAGCAACGCCGAAAACTCCAACGTCACCATCACCACGAAACAAGGACAGGTCGCTCGATAATAGTACTCGGTAATAAAGGGACTTAAGGAGGTACATGTCGACACACTGGCGAAACGCGTTCTAGTAAATATGAACTTGTTCCATGATATTCTGAACATGATGTTAACGAAGAATTTTCAGTTGTGAAAGAAGTCAGGCTCGAGAAAGGCACTGCTAAACCCTCCATCTTCCCGCATCATAGGTCTCTCAAAATTGTTCTTAGTTGCACAGAACAGCGTCTCTGTCGCAAGCTATCCACTCACTTTTGACGACAGTGACCGCATAGTCCTGAAGTAAGAGTACTCACTTACCTGTGAGCCAAATCAAATCATTATTGTCAGGCGCAACATATAAATTGGAGATTTTAAACAAAGCATAACCGACATGCGCTGTATTATCTTCAACTCAACATTCCTATAGATGCGTTATCGTGAACTGATCAGAATTTATGGCCTTATTATATAGATGCATCACCAGATACTGCCCTGCATCGGAAAAGAAGACCATTAGCTGGCCAATATGACTAATGACCGCACTTAAAGGAGAAGCAAGCCGCGAGTAAAAGCTGTAGGGAACGCATCTTAGGGAAAAGACTATTGATAAAAAATCACGCATGAACCCGAAACTCATGTTCATGTATACCAACGCGCAAAGTGTACTTTCTAAACTGGATGAGCTTCGTATCCTTACATACGACCTCCACCCAGACGTTATCTCAATAACAGAAACATGACTGTCGGAACAGATTGATCATAGAGAACTCATGCTCCCTTGATTTCAACTGTTCCGCAGAGACAGACAAAACAGGAGGGTTGGAGGCAAAGTAACATTTGTTGAGAATGGCTTATACGTTTCAGAAAAAACTGCCCAACTGACTTGTAGCACGGAAGCGTTGTGGCTGACCATAAGGGCACCGGGCTCTCAAAGCCTCGATATCTTGACAGTATATCGCCCCCCCGAGAAATGACCCTGACGCTGATGCCCAACTGCCGGAGGAGCTTAGGCTATTTTCAACGCGACCGACTACTCTCATCGTTGGAGATTTTAATGCACCTCACATAAACTGGAGCTCGGCCTCAGCCGTTACCGCGTACCTCCGACAACCTGCTTCTAACCCAACACGTAATGTTTCCGACGAGAGTTTGAGAGGGCCAGCAAATGAATTGCCTTGATCTAGTGTTCACCAAGTTCTCTGACAATATCGACGTTGTGAATTGCCTCCCCCCGTTGGGTCAGAGTGACCATGTAGTTCTCATGTGGGAATACACCTTATTCTCCCTGCCTGCACAACCGCTCGATTCCCGACCCAATATTTGGCGCGGAGATTTCGAACAGATGAGAAGGGATCTTAGTTCTATCGACTGGACATCCACTCTATCCGGCGATGTCAAAGAGGTTTGTGTCAGTTCAAATAGATAGTCCACAACCTCATCTCCAACCACTGCCCAATCATGCGCAGAAGACTAACAAATAGACCCCGCTGGCTGACTCCGTCCTTAAAGGAGGAAGCTAACAAGAAGAGGAAGCTGTGGTAAAGTTCTCTGACTGACCGGACGCCAGAACCCTGAAGCAGTTATAAGTTACAGAGAATTCGGGTCAAAATTCTCATCGCCAGAGATCGGAAAGCCTTTGAAAAGGATCTTTTGAATCGTGCCAGGATTAATCCCAAAGTCCTTTACAACTACATAAGACAGAGCACGCGGAACAAGGACCACATCCCACTGCTGCGAACAGCCAAAGGAATGGAAATCTCGGATTACAAGGATAAGGCTGAACACCTCTCTCATTTCTTCCGGTCTGTCGTGACAAGTGAACCTGATTATTTCTCCCCCATTTGTGAAGACGAAGAAACGCCTACCCTCGAAGCCGTATTCTTCACCGAAGCAATTCTTCGGAATGAGTTTCTCAATCTGAAAAAATCGACCTCCCCAGGCCCTGATGCAATCCCCACCAAGCTGCTGAGGGAGCCAGCTCCCGAAATGTCCAAGCCGTTAGCCTTGATCTACCAAACGTCATTTCTTACTGGATGCCTGCCCTCTGATTGGAAGTCCGCTACCATCACTCCGCTTTTTAAGGGTGGAAGTCGTGCGTCTGCGAATAACTACAGGCCAGTGAGTCTTACCTCCATCTGTTGCAAAATCATGGAGAAGATCATTAAGAAGGCCTTGATTCAGTTCCTGGAGTAGCACCACCTCCTCTCGGATGCACAACACAGCTTTCGAAGTGGTAGATCCTGCCTCACGAATCTGATCTTTACGCTCGAACGCTGGACCAAAGCACGCGATGAAGGTAGTGTGATTCACGCCATCTACATCGACTTCAAAAAGACCTTCGACAGCGTTCCCTTCCAACATCTCTTGCACAAACTGTGCAACGCTGGAATTCGTGGACGCCTTCTTGTATAGATGCAGGGCTTTTTGGCTGGACGGTCCCAAAGAGTACAGGTCGGGCGTCAACAGTCCTCAGAGGTAAGCGTGGTGAGTGGTGTCCCACAGGGCTCAGCCTTAGGTCCCACGTTATTTCTCGTTTTCATAAATGACTGCGTCAAGGACTTTGACTGTGATACCATCCAGTTTGCCGACGACATACAATTGTAGAAAGTTGTTCACAATGCGGCAGACGCAGCCCACCTGCAAGCAAACCTGAACAGGCTCGAGGACTGGTCGAAGCGCTGGCTTATGCCCTTCAATAAAAGCAAGTGCAACTTTCTTCAACTCGGCAGCTTCAGAGCCCCCAGCCCCAGGACCTACTTTCTAGACGGCACACCACTTCAACAGGTTGACTGTCAGAAGGACTTGGGTGTATGGATTAAATCTTTACTCAAACCAACACTGCACTGCGCGAAGGCGGCTAAATCGGCTATGGCTACACTGCAACTCATTAAACGAGCATTTATGGGATTAGACCCAGACAGCTTTTCAAAAATATTTGGCACCTACGTGAGGCCTCATCTAGAATACGCCATACAGGCGTGGAGACCTTGGACTGCCAACGACTATACCGTTTTGGAGAAGGTCCAGAGACGGGCGACCAAAATGACACAAGGTATGGAAGCGCTGTCTTACGAAACCCGACTGTCAACTCTCAACTTGTTTCCACTTTCCTACAGGCAATTACGTGGTGACCTTATACTTGCATTTCGCATTATCAACGGCCTAGACTGTTGTTTAGATCCCACTGATTATTTCAGACAAGTTAACAAGCACACTTTGCGCGGTCATCCCCTAAAACTGTGCGCCGGGAAAGCAAGGATCAATGGAAGAAAGTTCTTTTTCAGTCACAGAGTGGTTGCAGTGTGGAATGCCCTGCCCACCGATGTTGCAACCTCCTTCTGTGTGAATTCCTTTAAGTGTAGACATGACGCGCACCAAGCTTCCCAGTTACCAGCCTTACATCCACTCACGTAACCCGACACCAACTTAAACTTGTCTATACTACTTGTAACTAGTTAGTAACCGTTATTGATTACTCTTTTTGACGAGCTGTCAGCGAATATGTGCAAAACCCCTTTTTCACCTTCTCACTTATCAATGTTTTTCTCCGACGACTTGTAACCAATAGGGAGTTCAAAGGCGCTCGCCTATATTTCCTTTTATAAACTGAAACGGAAACTGAATAAGTACAAGGCGCAAAGAAGTAGACTAAAGAACCCTGTTTATAAAGTCCGTCAGCACTTAAAAAGTAACGCATTCAACTGTTCAGGAGAAAACGTAAAACTTTTCACAACTACGTAAGACACTGCGCTCGCAATAGAAAACCCATCTTTACGTTAAAAACGGATGATGGCGTTGAACTTTTCAAGGATGACAAAACGGTTGACCGCCTATCTAAGTTCTATCAGGCAGTTTTTATGAGATAAGCCAACCTACCCGCTGATAAATGTAGGGTGGATGAGGTCCCAAAAATTGACTCAGTGGTTCTCACAGAAGCAATTGTTCAACAAGAACTGCTGAAACCGAAAGAGGCGACATCATCAGTCGTTGAACAACTTATTCGCATGAGTGCCAGAACCCCCACGTCTGCTCATCCAAGCCTACCTGGATGCAGTCAGATTGTCACCTGAGTGGAATACTGCGTGGATTTCACCGGCATATAAAAGCGGCAGTCGTGCTTCTGCAAATAACTGCTGATCAGAAAGCCTCACCAGTGTATGTTGCAAAAGTAAGCAGTGAATTATCGAACTTGAACTGACGGAGTTCTCAGAACAACATTATCTTCTCTCTGATGGGCAGCATGAACTCCGCTGAGGACGAGCCTGCATAACCAACTTGTCCTACTGTCTAGAATGCTGAACCCGAGTGATTGATAGAGGATATGTGGTATGCATTACTCACAAAGACTTCAAGAAAGCCCTCGACAGTGTGCCACACCAACGTCTCCTATACAAGCTCAGTCGCATGAGGGTAAGAGGCAAGCTGTTGAAGTGAATTGAAGACTTCCTGATAGTTCGATCTCAGATTGTGCGTCTTGGTGGCCAGCAAACTCAGAGGTGGCGCTTGGGAGCACAGTTCCTCAGGGCTCCGTTCTCGGCCCTATCTTCTTCCGCATACATATGGATAAATGCAACCCTGGGTTAGACTGCCACATAGCAATGTTTGCCGGCGAAATAACGTCCGCAACCGGGATGATGAAGAAAATTGATAACCAAACTTAGATGACTGACTCCTCTCGTTCAAAATACTAAATTTCGCATTCTGCGAACCAACAAAACCAGCAATAAGCACCAGAGGACGAACTACCAAATCGGACACCGTTACCAGAGTTAGCGGTCTATAAGCATTTAGGTGAGTGAACCACGACCTTACTGACGTCGTAATTCATCTTCTTCAAAGTAGTTAAATCCGCAATTTCGAGCCGGTTTTGCAAGATCTTTGGGATGTTCGTGCGACCACCGTTAGAGCCTACTACGTAAGCCTGGAGACTGTGGACTGGCAAAGACCGCAGCACCCTCGAAAAAGCCTAATGACGGCCAATCAAGCTTGTCCGAGGCTTAGGCTACGTGCCTTATGAAACTCGACCGTCCTATCTTGAAATCTTGCCCTTGGACTACGGGCAGCCACGCCGCAATCTTTTTCAAGCGTTTCGCATGCCGCGGCGTCAGGTTAGTTGCATCACATCGGATGACTTTCCTGAGCCGGTCACCATCATCAGTTTGAGTGAGACTTCGCAAATTACGTGTTTCTGGGACAAGAATGGTAGCAAGGAGGTTCTTTTTCAGATACTGAATGACTAATGCTTAGAATGCTCTGCCTGTGGACGTAGGTATGTTTCCATCCGTGGACACATGAGGGGGAAGCTTGACGCGTCAGGGATACATGCTCCCAAGAAACTAACAAATCGCCTCCCTTGTATCATCCTCCAAGATCTTATGCCCCACAAAGTATACTACTCCCCGCGTTTCAGTAACGTGGATGATGAATAATCGAAATCGTGACAACTTGCGGACCAATGAATTCCGACTGAAGTGCAACTGCTTGTTTCCATATTACTTTTCCGATTTCAGTAACACGTCTTAGCAGTTCTAGGTTTTAATACCATGAAACTATTTAGTCAATTTTCTTCATGTGTTTTTGCGATGTTAGTATAACCAATAAGGAGTCCAAAGGCGCTCGCCTAAATTTACCTTTCCAAAAAACCTGAAAAAGTGAGGAGTTTTAATACGCCTGCTGTTTTTATCATGCTTATCAGAAAGCTACGTGCTTGTTGCATCCGATGACATAGCCAATCATCTTTCCAACGTTCTTCGTGTGTTAGTGATTTTCTTTTGTGACATTATGGTAACCGAAGCGGAGTTAAAAGAAGGTCCGCCTGCTCTTCTAGTTATAAAGCTGAATTGTAAAGAATAACCAGAAATACCCCCTCCGCTTTATGACAGCTTACGCAAGTCAAGTACTATCACGCAATAATAAAATTGCTAATTTATTCCACAATTCGTTCTCAGCCAACAGAATGCTTGAGACCGTTAACAAGTGTCCTAGGAAAAAGCGTCTGAATCAACAGCATTTCCACTCAGTGCGATCTATGTAATGGAGAAAAATTGTTAAAATTAACTCCAAGACATCTCTCTAAGTCAACCTTCTATAGAACAGATATCACCGTTCTCCCCAGCTAGCTTAAACAAACTGTGGCTGTTATGGTAATTCTTTCTCAATCAATCTAACTGTTTAAATCGAAAGCAGCTCTCTCAGGCCTTTGGAAATGCGTAAGCACCACCGACATTAGAACTTTTAGGTTAATAGCAGCTTTGTAGCCGCCGTCACGCAGTCTTTGCATACTCACGTCTGGGAACGGATGGTATATCCCCATGCCTCTTCGCGAGTAAACTGCAGATCAAGAAAGTCGCAATTAAGGCCCTGGTGAAACTGGCCAATAAGCATATTTTTTTGAGGAAGCATGTGTCATCTATCTACCTGAACTCCATTTTGGCCAAAACGTTCGAACAATGTCCTTACCTAGTCGTTGTAGAACTAGTTCTGCGAGCAGTCGCGAAATTTTTGATTTGATTGGGAAGTCCTTGACCTGCTGGGTCACTTGACGTAAAATTCTTATAATTATTGAGACAGGGCGTTAGCCTTTCTAAGACCATTCACACTGCAATGCCGATGGGATTGAATTGCAGGCTTCGAAGCCCGTTTTAAATTGCTAGGTCATGTGGTAATATCGGAGACAGGACATACACATCAAATGCTGAGATGCTTTTATCAGGACTTACTTGAAGACTTTAGATCTTTTGATGAGCAACCACCCTGCTTGACTTACAGTCTGTTGTGCCACTGGAGTGTGGTTTCGGCACCCTGCCAAGGTGTGCACCGGTGCCGTTGGGGCAGGTCATACTCGAACGACGATCTCGCACTTGAGATTTCGGTACGATGCCAAAACGTTTGTGAGTGACTAACCCACCCCCCCCCACCCCAAAAAATAACCTAAAAATCATTGTTAACATCCAGCCAGATAAGTGCCAAACGCACGTTTGGTTCGTCAGACTGTGGTCTCGGCGAGACGCATAACATTTTGAGGGTATCATCAACCGGAATAAATAAGGAGACCCCGAACTTCGATTTTAGTGCGCGATTGGGTTTAAATTAACCCATGTGTCCCCAACTATCCCCATTATAGGTTAAGGTCATCCAACGTCATCGAACTTGCATTTACCGATGACGGTGTACTTTGGTTGATTCTACGTCGA